GCCTTTAATTCTAAAAATCATCGAAAAAGTCGTTAATAAATGTTCTTTTTTGAATTTCTTTGTCCGATTTTTTTTAAATGAAACGGTCACTTTTATGTAAGTATCTTCAAAAAATTCGGAAGAAAGTTTTTGAAATGCCTTTGTTATATTCTTATATTTAAATAACCGTTTTATTCTAAAATATTTCTCCAATTTCTAATTGTTTTTCTGTTTGTTTTTTGTATTATATTTTTGATATATCAAGAAGTCCTCCCAAACTCTCACCTTGTATGAAAATAGTTAAAACATAATTAATTATTATAAAAAAATTCATTTTTTGATGATTTTTTTTCTTCAAAAAATCCAATTTTTTTAAAGTAAAAAATACTTTTTTTGGAAAGTCTTTGTGTTATATTTTACACAAAATTAATTGCTTTATTAAAAAATAAATAAATAAATTTTTTAAAATTAAATTATTGCAATATAAAAAATTCCTTCAAACTTTTATCTGAATGAAAATAGAATTAAAAATTTATGAATTAGTTCTAATCATTATCATCGTTTCAAAGTGATACAAATGTACACAAACAATGCGCGATACCAATTCATTCATAAGATAAAATCTCTTGCGCCTTATAAAAATTCTATTTTGCCGAGTAATTAATTCTAAAAATGCCTTTAATCTTTTAAAAAATACATTTTTAAAGGTTTAATTCACTAATTTCTTAGAAATTCGAAGTGATTTTTTTTTTTTTGTCTTTGTTGCATAGTAACCACAGAAACCATACTTGCATTCTTGCATATTTTTTACAATTTATCTCGAAAGCAAATTAATCAATGGATTAAATTTAATTCCGTTCTTAACCAGACAAATAAAACTTAATTCAAAATTTTTTCTCGTTTTTTTTTCTTTCTTTAATTATCTATTTATCGATTATCGTGACGTACTTCAAAGTGCTGTACAATGCCCTTAGCAACAGCCGATTGTGATGATGATAATGGAGATAAACGTGCCATAAAAATACAGCTGCTACTAGTGAAAGTATGAAAGTAATTAACGTCATCAACATTTAGATTATAATACTTAATACACGATTCTTTTGGTACTGTAAATTGCTTAATTTATACAGAATAAGAGTCTACTGTATACAAGTTATGTAGTACTTTACACTCGTCGGTACAGTTATGAGGCGGTTAATCTACATCTCAGATAATACTTTCTCGTACAGAAATTATCAAAAAATTTTAAGATTTGTTTCGAATTTTTAAAATTTAATTTCTACTATTAATTTTTTAAAAAATATCCTTAAAGTCGAAGCGTTTTGTTATTTTCCTCAATGGAAAACTAAGAAAAGTATTACTAAAACTCACTCTAAATTCTACAAATTTAAGAATTGTTTTTTGATGTTATATTTAGAAATATAGTATTATCGGTATTTTTAGATAATTTTGATGATATAATTGTAATATATTCCAAAAGAACGGCTCATCTTTATGTTGTAATCCTACATCACCAATTATAGTCAGGATCTAGTGACTTTTCTTTACCTCACGTAGTTATATACATCCGGATTTTTAAATCATCAACCTATTTTCTTCACGGTCCCACCCTCTTTTTGAGATCCCACCCTCTAATACAAATTCCTTACCACTTGAGCCTCTTAATATGTATCCATCATACTACATCTTTCTCCTTTTTCGTTGGTACCTCATTTTTCTTAATTCTTTACATTCTTTTCCATCTCGCTTACTCATAACACTTCTTATTTCACTTTTTATTTCTTTTGTAGCAAATTACGACGCGATTTTCTTCTACAAAATTCTTGATCTCTTCTTTTCGCAAAACGATTGGGATTTTTGTCGGAAAAATACAAAAGTTTGCAGAATACTGTGCTGTGTTTTTAGACCGAAGGCTGTGTGGGATTTGATGTAAAAAAATACACAGAATACGGCATACCAAAGGCTTTTTCTGGCAGAAATTTTAATGGGAATTTGTTGCAAAAAATTACGTTTTGCGCTACAACGCTCAACAAACCATACTCTTTTCTTAATAATTTTCTTAATTTCTTAATTAATTAATCTAAATAACAATTTTTAAACAAATTACTACTATAATTCTTTAAAAATTATAGTAATAATCTGTTGTAAAATATATACATTAGATTATTTTTCGTTACAGTATACAGCGCGCGCCCAAAGTTTTTCGGCAGAAAATGCATGTTCCGCTAGAATTTGTAAAAATTGCATAGAAATTACAGGTAAAATATACATTTTGTACAACAGAAAAATAGATAGCATAGATATTTTTTAGGAGCAAAATAATCCGGAAAATTGCTATAAAAATCCATAGGCACCATAGTGTGCAGCAACCATAGTCTTTTTTTTTTAAACAAAAATAATGATAGAAATTTTTTGTTGAAAATAAAATTCTAACCATAGTACATAGATAAGCGTGTTACTTACCAATATATTGCTTATAACATTCCATAGTCTTACAATAAACGACCGTAACCAGTTATAATAAGTGATAAGGCTATTGTTTTTTCGCATACATCTCGTGTATCTGTCATTCACGCTTTATGCTTTCGTTGCAGAAATAAGTAACTTCTAATCTGCAAAACGCCATTTATTTTTTATAAATAGATCATTTTCTAGATAAAAATTTGTAATCTTCCTTTAAAAGTAAAGTAAATTTTTCAAGGATTTTATATGACTAGACTACTTATAATCGTTACTATACTGTGTATAATTTCACTTACATTTAAATAGAAAGGTAATAAATAATTATTTTTTATTGTAAATTTGTTATCTGGAAGTTTATTATAGATCCATTACTTCAAATTCTAGAGAAATTCGAATTACAAGAGTTGAACTTTTATTGTAAATCCATTGTTCTAGAGTTTAAATCCGTTACTCCTGAAATTTTATTGTAAATTTATTACAAGTCGTCGATAGAATTTTCAAGAGTTTCTCTACTTGAAAGTAAGAGAAAAGTGCTTCATGTCAAGTGCCAAACATTACTCATTCAATAATGGACGTCGACGTTTACTCTAAAGAACTGTTTGTTTCTAAATCACTTACAATATTGTAACATGTAAATTGACTTGTAAATTATATACGGATCTTAAAATAGCAAATTTTCATTTATTGTAACTGAGAAACCAAATAAAAAAATCAATTTTTTTAGATTAAAAAAAAACGTAATTTTCATCATAATTTGTTTTAAAATGCTATTTTGTAATTACTTTTTGCGATTTTAAATTGTAAAATAACATTAAATACACTGCAAAAAATATTGTTTACTATAAATATATTGTTTTTTTTTAAAGTTCATGAGTTGTCGTAAACATTTTTATCTAAATTTTTTGGATTCTAAGAGGGCAAAAGTGCCTGTAAAAAATATATCGTCATGTTTATGAGAATAATCAACGAAATGTCATAACTTACAGACACAATTTTGCTTTGTTTTTTAATAAAAATGTGTCAGAAATTGTGTCATTTTTTTAGATAAAAATAAATATTTTAGCATTAAAAATTATTTATTTTTATATATTTTAATATAAATAAGTCGAAACTGTTAAAAATAATTCAAATACTCCGTTTGTTCGTATGTCTGTACGGACTTTATTTTTCTCTTTATTAAAATTGAAAGGATTTTTAAAAGCTTTTTTAGGCTTTTTCATAACCGATTTTATAACATAATAATAATAAGTTTTTAAAGAATTTAAGTCATATATTATAATAAACTCATTTTAATTCGCAACTATCTAAACAATAAACATGACATATTTTGCTTTAAATTCTAAAAAGTTTATCAAGAATAATCTTGATATATTGTTAAAAATATTTTAAACTGGTTACATTTATGTATATAATTTTTCAGCGAATTATATAACAGACAGACAGACGTACAAGAAAAAAATTATACATAAACTCGTTTTCTTAAAATATGCGCTAGAAAATATTTGACAAAGTAGAAGAGAAACAAAAAAAAAGAGAGAAATTAATAGTTTTAGAGAAATATTTTAAACAAGAAAATTTTTTTCTTATTCTTTATCATTTTACAACATAGAAACACAAATATATCGTGTAATTTTGTAGATTTATGTAACTAATGTTCTAACTTACAACTTCATTAATTCATATTGGTGGGAACCCAGGAGAAAATCTATGAATAATTCATTCTCATTCAATAAATCACTTTTTTTTACAACTTAAAAATATTAGTTTTTTAAGATTATTTTATAAATTAAACTTTAAGAAATTAAAAATATATATTTATATAGCAGATTCATTTGTATAAATTCTAAAATTAGCAACAATTGTAATAAGGTTCTTGCAGTTTTTTTATAGGTAAATGTTAATTTTAATTAAAAATTTTCATGTTTTTTAAATTAAAATTATAAAATTAAAGACTAAAAAAGTCATTAAAAATTAAACTTCTTTTAGATTTAATTCTGATAAAACTTGTTTAATTTTTAAAAGCTATTTAATTCTTGAATTTTAATTAAAGATTGATGTTTTATAAGTTAACATTAAGGAATTAAATAGCTTTAAAAATTAAATCTAAAATGAATTAATTTGAATGAATTTTTTTTATTTATATTGATTAATATGAATTTATATTAATGTTTAAAAAATAAAGTAATCCAAATTTAATAATAACATTCCTGTAAATAAGTTGTGAAATTTTTTGAATGAAATGTTTACATTTTTTTGTTTTGAAAAATTTTCCTGTATTTTTATCTTTAAAATTTACTTATTTACAACATTTTTAAACCAAATAATCAATGGCATTTCCTGATAAATAAATGAATATTTAGCAATTTTCTTTTCAAAAAAACAGTATCAATGCACTTTGAAATTTTCAGATAAATTACAGAAAAACTCAGGATGTTATACTTTATTCATGATTCATCAATAAACTGCAACTAGTTACATCTAATATACATTTTAATATTGATAAAATTATATTTTGAGTGTATAAATTGATTAACCGACTTCATTTTTTGTATTTTTAGATTTTAAATTTACAATGTATCCGCCATCAATGATAGCAGCTGCCAGTATTGCTTCTGCCATCCAGGGTTTGATGTGGTTAGAGAAGAGCTGGGCATCTCAGACAGAGTTACTTAATCATCTGCATCAAATTACAGGCATTGAAGTTGTAAGTCACCCCCCTCTAAAAATTCTCAAGTATTAAACAGATAGGTTTACTTTTTAGAAGGGATTTTTTTAGATTTTTTCTGACATGGTGAGAGTCACAGTAGCATCTAAAAAATCTGGGTCAACATGTGTAATGCTATTATACTTGATAACATGAATTACACATTTTAAAATGATGTTTTTTTGAATAGGGAATTAAATAAATCATAATTTTCTAAGAAGTGTTATAAGTTGTTACATACTTTTTTTGAATTGATATAAGAGGGATGTTAAATAATAAAATGTAGATTTTAAACTGTCAGATTTATTTTATTTTGAAGGTTTTAAAAATGAATTTTCTTTAATTTTACTCAAGTAAAATTAAAGAAAATTCTTAAAGTAAAATTANGGTGTAAGAAGCAATAAAACAACCAATTTTGTGCTTAAAGAAATTAAATGAATATTTTGAAATTTATGTAATTCAGCTTTTAATTTTTTTATATCAGAATAAAATACACGCGGCTTATGTGTGTGTGTCTGTGTGTTTTTTTTTTAAAAATAATTAAAAAGAAGAAGATTAATTATATAAGAATTCGTCAAAAATTATCCAAAAAATATGTAATTAAATTGTATTTTGACGCTTTCCAACTGTTGTTAATATAATAAATTTTATTCATAATGAAATTAGGAGAAAAAAATTATATTTGTGTGTGTGTGGACAGCTTCATTAAAAATTATCTTACGTCATAAAACTGTCTGAATGAAAATTACTATTCTTCAATAAACGCCCTGTGTTTGCCTAGAGCGATATCAAACAACATGACTTGTCTAATTTTTTATTTTTATGTTTTGTGTTTTTCCTTGTCTTCATATTTGGATTCTGAGGAAAAATGTACTGGAAATATAAAGTTGTTGTACTTAGCCTTGAATAAATAGCTTAGTGTATCTGAAAGAAATCTTCAAAAAATTCACTTTTTGATTCGTTATCTTCTTAAAAAAAGTGTGTAAAAACTTTTTGGAATTCTTATGTTATGTCCTTGTTTAAAAGTAGTCGTTTTATTCTTAAAATCTTCGAAAAAAAACATGTTTAAAAAACGTAATTTTGGAATGTCTTACGCTAGATTCTTATATAAAAGCAAGCTGTTTGATTGTAAAAAAATTTCAAAAAATATGTGGCGGTGTTTTTGGAATGTCTTATATTATATTCTTATATAAAAATAGCCTTTAATTCTAAAAATCATCGAAAAAGTCGTTAATAAATGTTCTTTTTTGAATTTCTTTGTCCGATTTTTTTTAAATGAAACGGTCACTTTTATGTAAGTATCTTCAAAAAATTCGGAAGAAAGTTTTTGAAATGCCTTTGTTATATTCTTATATTTAAATAACCGTTTTATTCTAAAATATTTCTCCTATATTATATATTTTTTGCATCGTCTCTAAGAGGCTCCCGATGAGTAAATATCAATGATAGCATCATCGAAGATGAAACAATGTTTCAATATATCGTACGCTAGATGAATGGGATTATTTATCTAAAAAGTTCATTCAAAAATACAAAAGTTGATAAATAAACTTTATTCCGAAACGCAAAATTGAACATTTTTAGATGCATCTTTTAACCGTATGCACGGAAATCCCTACAGCTATCCTCCAAAAACAAACAAACAAAAAAAAAAGATTCTGAATTAAATATTTATAAAATTTTAATAACATTTTCTTAAGTTTATTTATTTTTGAAAATATAAAAAAAGAACTTTAACTTTTAAACTAGACAATTTAAACATTTATATTAAGTTTTGTTATGACTATGATCCATAAATAAATAATGCAGAGGCGTTGAAATCTATAACATTTACCTATTGGCTTCACTGCATTGCAATGGCTCGAATTTGTGGCATTCAAAGTGTAAATTTCCATGATTTTCTTAATATATGCAAATGATCTCTTTGCGTAGGAAAATTTTGATGATTTTTTCCATTAATTTTCCTCTTTATCATTTTATCAACCCGCGGAACTGACTATTGTTTGGACATTGTACGTTGGCGTGTGAAAGCAATTAGGGTCGGTCGGCCAGATAATTTCCTGACGCGGCTAGACAGCAGACTTATACCCTGTACATAACTTTGTCTGTCGAGACACGAGAAGACATTGACCCCTCTCTCGGTTTTTCTCTACTATACAACAGTCAAGGTTACTTTAATCGTCGCGCGTGGGCGGTAGCAACGAGGTTATACCAACGTCTTTTGTATAATATATATTTTGGTGTATATCTTCAAGACATTTTTGCTTTAGATATACCAAACTCGGTTATCCGATTCCGATTCTTGAGAGTCGGGAGTGATTTTGGGCGGTGGGGAGCTAATAGATAGGTTCAGAGAGCAGAGGTCACGACAGGAATGAACTGGGGGCGAAGACAAGTACCCCCTGGCTGAATGGTCGTCATTCAAGGGAACTATGTGGAAGTAAACGGGCGACTTTGAGGCACCGCTCCACCAACCCTATTCAACTTGTGGAATGTGGGAATGTCTAGTCCCGCTTTGTTGTTCCTTTGGTATGTATGACAGGTTCACTCGGTAGTCTTTCTCTTCTTGTGTGAGTGAAACGATCATCGATTCACACCTTTTCGTCAAAATATCTTTTTCTGTTGATCATCGAATTTCACTTGCAACCCCCACAAACACTAAGAAGAATTCACACGATAATTTTACATTAAAAAAATCATCAAATATGTACAACGCAGCAACTGATACAATGAGAACAAGTGTGTACAGACGGGCAAAGTTTTCATTTGTTCTTTAATTATCGAAATACCTCTACAAAGATTTCTAGTATTTAAATTCGAAAAGGAACCAATAAAAACATTTGTTACATATTAAATTTAGTAACGAAGTTACGCACACTAGACAATACCTTGCATTAAAACAAAGACGGTAGATTGTAGACTCGCTATCAACTATTATATTGACCAAAGAGATAGGGTCAAGGTTGTTTTTGTCATGAAAAAAGGAAAGGAAGACCATTCCAGAGAAGTATGGGTGGCAAACAAATAAATGGAATGGGCGGGTCTTTCCCATGCTTGTCCGAAATGTGCCAGTGTCAGGCGGTTACTGGATGTAACCCACTTCAATCGACCTGTTGGTATCGAAGACTTGCTGGGAAAGAAGTAAATTACGAAACACTAGCCACGAGCTAAAACATCTGGCGATAATTAATTGAGGTATCGATAGGTTGCTTTAATATATTCAAAAACTGATAATGTGTGACGTTGTCTGCGAAGCATCGTATTTTGTGTTGCGTCACAAGCGTTGCGTTTATCCGTATAACAATTTAAATGAGGAATTAATTGTGTTACGACGAGTTAACAATACGTTAAAATGTAGAAAAAACACACTAATTAGTGTGATAAAAATAAAAATGAGCGTGTGAAAGTCTAAGCGGAAGTTTTTGGAAAGTGCTGATGAATACTGATATGAATTATGAAATAGAAATTTTACTTGGCGCTATGATTAATAACGTCTATTACAAGAAATTTATATCATTTTTCTTCTAAAAAACACAATAATTGTATTAATTAAGCGTATTTTAACATGGAAATATATCAAAAATTCTCATTTTTTTAAATATAAATTTGGCATTTATAGCTGAAAGTACGGCAAATATAATGGAAAAATATTTAAAAGTTGGCATTTTTAGAATTGAAAATATAACAGATAGAACGGAATTTTTTAGATAAAAAGTAATGATAAGATACGAATTTAATCATAAAATACACGCGGCTTATATGTGTGTGTGTCTGTGTGTTTTTTTTAAAAAAATAATTAAAAAGAAGAAGATTAATTATATAAGAATTCGTCAAAAATTATCCAAAAAATATGTAATTAAATTGTATTTTGACGCTTTCCAACTGTTGTTAATATAATAAATTTTATTCATAATGAAATTAGGAGAAAAAAATTATATTTGTGTGTGTGTGGACAGCTTCATTAAAAATTATCTTACGTCATAAAACTGTCTGAATGAAAATTACTATTCTTCAATAAACGCCCTGTGTTTGCCTAGAGCGATATCAAACAACATGACTTGTCTAATTTTTTATTTTTATGTTTTGTGTTTTTCCTTGTCTTCATATTTGGATTCTGAGGAAAAATGTACTGGAAATATAAAGTTGTTGTACTTAGCCTTGAATAAATAGCTTAGTGTATCTGAAAGAAATCTTCAAAAAATTCACTTTTTGATTCGTTATCTTCTTAAAAAAAGTGTGTAAAAACTTTTTGGAATTCTTATGTTATGTCCTTGTTTAAAAGTAGTCGTTTTATTCTTAAAATCTTCGAAAAAAAACATGTTTAAAAAACGTAATTTTGGAATGTCTTACGCTAGATTCTTATATAAAAGCAAGCTGTTTGATTGTAAAAAAATTTCAAAAAATATGTGGCGGTGTTTTTGGAATGTCTTATATTATATTCTTATATAAAAATAGCCTTTAATTCTAAAAATCATCGAAAAAGTCGTTAATAAATGTTCTTTTTTGAATTTCTTTGTCCGATTTTTTTTAAATGAAACGGTCACTTTTATGTAAGTATCTTCAAAAAATTCGGAAGAAAGTTTTTGAAATGCCTTTGTTATATTCTTATATTTAAATAACCGTTTTATTCTAAAATATTTCTCCAATTTCTAATTGTTTTTCTGTTTGTTTTTTGTATTATATTTTTGATATATCAAGAAGTCCTCCCAAACTCTCACCTTGTATGAAAATAGTTAAAACATAATTAATTATTATAAAAAAATTCATTTTTTGATGATTTTTTTTCTTCAAAAAATCCAATTTTTTTAAAGTAAAAAATACTTTTTTTGGAAAGTCTTTGTGTTATATTTTACACAAAATTAATTGCTTTATTAAAAAATAAATAAATAAATTTTTTAAAATTAAATTATTGCAATATAAAAAATTCCTTCAAACTTTTATCTGAATGAAAATAGAATTAAAAATTTATGAATTAGTTCTAATCATTATCATCGTTTCAA